GGAAGGCCGCCGTTTTATGTGACCAAACCATTTAAGGTGACTCTCTCTAATTATCTTCCACTTGAGCTACTCCAACATTTTCATGTATACGCTCATTTTGTATTATATCTCTAAGAGTAAAGCCACTCATCCGCCTAAGAATCCAAATCTCTACAACACTTAACTTAATATTATGCTTCTCTTTTAATGGCCAATATTTTGCACCATAAAGCATTGCAGATCTCACCACATCTTATAAAGTTTTCCCTTATGATTGAAGGTGGACTTTTCTATCACAGAACAAGCCCAATGCATTCCTCTACTTCAACCATTCAACTTGAATTTTACTAATAATCTCTCCATATATTTCACCATCACTCTAAACAATAGACCTCATATATCTAAAACGTGTACTCTTATTAATGACTTGATCGCCCAAAATCACAATTCCCCCATTATATCTATTACTACTAAAATTACACTCTATATATTCATTTTTAGATCTACTCAAACGAAAACCTTTAGAATCAAAGGTTAACCTTCATAATTCAAGTTTACCTTCAACTCCCTCTCGAGTCTTATTAACAAGAACAAAATCATAAGCAAAAAACATACACCAAGGTACAACCTCTTGCAAATGTCTAGTGAGAACATCCATGACTAAAACAAAAAGATATGGGCTTAAAGCTGATTCTTGATGTAATCCAGCTGAAATAGGAAAATACTTGGTTAAGCCACCTTGTGCTTGAACACAAGCAATAGCTCCTGCATACATATCCTTAATAACTTGAATATAAATATTATCAACCCCATTCTTTTCTAGAACTCTCCATAGCACTTCTCTAGGAACTTTATCATATGCTTTTTCTAAATCAATAAATATCATATGTAGATCCTCCTTATTCTCTCTATACTTCTCCATCAAACCTCTCAATAAGTGTATAACTTCCATAATAGACATACCCGGCATGAATCCAAATTGATTTTTTCTTTAAGAAATATTAGTATCACGCCCACAACCTATGCTCCATAACTCCATCTCCCATAGTTTTAAAGTATGACACATTAACTTAATTCCTCTATAACCACTTCTCCTGAATTGAAATTAAAAACTAGCCTTTTCATTTTATAAATTTCAGGGCACCTACAATCTTGTCATGTTTCAGTTAAATGTAATAAAAGACAACATGCACAAAATCACGCAAAACGACTTCTAAATTTACAAATAAAATCAATACCTGTCCATCTACAAGAAATATAATAACAGATGCTTCTTCCACAGCAGCAGCAGCTTGTTTCTCGATCATAGAGGGCATTCTTGCAACAGCTGCTTCCCTAAGAGCAAGAGAAATCCCTTCCATACCAATAGTTGTAGTAATGGCAAGTTCCTCCATGACATCATCATGTGATCTTGAAAAAGTCATGACACCGCCTGTATCTATTACTGAAAATTCCCGGTCCCCCCAAAAAGACCTGCCATACAGACGATCTCTAGTAACACCAGGTTCGTCAACAACAATAGCCATATTCCCCTGAAATAAATCAAAATAATTACATGATTTTCATCGCTGCGGCATGCAGCATTAGATGGATTTGAGGAAAATCATCAATATAGTACCCCAACAAGGCGATTGAACAATGCTGATTTACCCACGTTTGGTCTTCCAACTATTGCTACCTTTGGGAGAAGATTCTCGGGGATCTAAGCAAAATATACACACATTATTAGTAACACGAGGTGAGCATGTTTATGTTGGCTTTATTTCCTCTTGCATGATGAGCAAGTAAACTGCATCATTTTGTTAACTAATCTTAGCAAATCCATAAGCACAAAATCCTGCTTTAGATATTTGTCTGTAGCCATGAATCATTAAGCACGCATGAATTGTCAGAAGCAAAGGATAAAAACAAACTTGTACATGAACTATTCTTCAAAAATAATTAGCATCTTCTGTTGCAGCATTGCTCCATCTAGGCAGCAGCTCCACAAATTATACTCTACATTCCATAGAAATAGAATACGTGCATTGTGCAAAAAAACAAAATAGAAAAAGAGGAAAACTCACCTGTATACTCAAAGTTTTCTGCCCCTGCCACTTCTCTCCCCTGTCTTCATAGGTTTCATCCTCTAAAAGAACCAAATATGCCAAGTAAGACCTTGCCCGGTGAAGGAAAATTTGATTCACTAATGTATGCTATGTAATGCTATGATATTATAGATGTCACCTATTTGATTTGGTGACATATTTTAACAGTTATTTTGTAAATGGTGCTTAAGTTATATGTTGATGACATATAGATATCAGTCAAATCAGCAAACATCAAGATGTCAACCTATCTAACTATCCAAGAACCAAAATAAACGATTTACAAAAGTATAATCACCGCTAATCATACTAATTAATGTTGCATATTTAAGTAAGATAACAATAAACCAACATAGTGTATTTGTTAGTTGACATTATTATCCAGATAACGTTGCAATCTAATTAGTATTGAACCAAAAGGTCCCTCAAGGATGGTTGAGAATAACCGCTTAAAAGGAAGTAAATGCTCCATTAAAAGGGATGGATGGAAACAGGATGATTCAATATTCCTATCAAAACTATGTTTAAAGAAAGAAGATACATAGTATTAAAGTTTCCAAGAGAAGATGAAAATATATAGATTTCTTCTCTTCCCTCCACCTTCATGATTATTGTTAGCATATGACGGTAGCAAGTGCACCACTTCTCTGTCAGCCGTCTGACAATCTTAGACCTCACCATCGCATCTCTCTAACGGAATAATATTCCGCTCTCCTCTTATATATTGGCTGAGCAAACCATACTGTAGTATTACCAAAAGCTTAATGAAAAGAGACCAAAAGCTTTATCTGCATTCTCTGCTAATGTCTCTCTTATAGTATTTCAGCTTTCTCTTTAATCTAGAAATCTCTCATGGTATCAGAGCTGTAACGCTCTACAGCTTCTCTTTCTCAGGAGAATGTCCGAACGCGATGCCTCCAGCGCTCAGTTAGCATCTCAATCGGTCTCCTCTCACTCAGCGTCCATGGCAGAGTTTACTATCCCCTATCCCCTCAAATTTCTTATGTCTAACATCAAGCAAATCATTACCATCCAGCTCAACAACGAGAACTATGCCATTTGGAGGCTGCAAACACTCAAGCTCTTCTCCGCCAACGACTTCGAAGGATACCTAACCGGCACTCAGCTGCAGCTGCTCTAATCTAGCCCAAATCACCGTCTATGAAAGCTCATAGACAAAAACCTTGTATCCACTCTTTTCTCTACCATTTCCCCCACCATACTACCCTACATCCTGAACTTGTCCTCAACTCAGGAAATATGGAAAATGTTGTCCAACTCAAGAACGCACTACACAACGTCATCATAGGAGACAGCTCAATGCAGAACTATCTAGCATAGATCAAAAGCCTAGTCGATAATATCGCCGCTGTCGGGTCTAGAGTGGACACTGAAGACATCATCTATTACATCCTAAATGGTCTTCCTACGGCTTACAACTCTTTTAGCACGTCCATCCGCACCTGCCAAACTCCAATCAGCCTGGATGTTCTGTATTCGCTACTTTGTAGAGAGGAGATTAATATCCAAACTCAGCTGCTCAAAGACACCACGTTGTCAAAGGACAATGCTGCATTTTACAGCAACACCCGCCTCGCTAGGGGTAGAAGCAACTTCTACCAAACCTCTCGTCCCACCCGCGGCCGAGGCTCCAACACCCGAAACACAAGCTCAGCAGGTCCAGACGCAGCCCCACCAACAACCTCCCGGCCAACATGTCAGATCTGCAACAAGCCCGGACACATCGCCACACATTGCTGGCACAAATGCAATCTCAACTATACACCCCCACCCACTCGCGCGTTGCTTTCTCACTCGCCACCTATCCCTTCAACCAAGTGGGTCTTAGACTCTGGAGCTTTGTCTCATCTTACTGCATATGCTACAAATTTACATCAATCGCTTCCCAACCAAGGATCAGACTCCATCTCTATCGCAAATGGAAGCATGCTACCTATCCAAAACACTGGCAACGGCATTCTTCCCCTACCACAATCCAACCGTAAGTTATACCTCCGAAACCTTCTCCATGTTCCTTCATTATCCTACAATCTACTTTCCATTCATAAATTAACATTCGATAACAACTGTTCAATCTCTTTTGATTCATCTGGATTCCAAATCGAGGACCTACAGGACAACCAAATTCTCCTTCGTGGTAGGAGTCGCGACGGCCTCTATTTGTTGTCCACCAACTCGTCCTCACCCACTTATGCTCTCAGCTCCAGCTCAACCTCCGCCCAATCTTGGCACGCACGGCTTGGCCATCCGCATCAACTTATCATGCATAGCTTAGCAAAATTAGATCCCTCTATTAGTATCTCCACTACCCCAATAGTTTGCAAATTTTGGAACATAGCCAAGAGCCACAAACTCTCATTTCCCACTAGCTCAAACCATGTAACAGCTCCTCTCATGTTAATCCATACAGATGTTTGGGGCCCCGCCCCCGTACCTTCACTTAGTGGTTATAAATACTATGTTATTTTAATCGATGATCATATAATATTTTATTGGCTCTATCTAATGAACTCCAAAGCAGAAACATTTTTTAAATTTCAACAATTCTCGAACATGGTTCACAATCAATTCAACAATAAAATAAAAATCCTCCGGTCGGATGGAGGAGGGGAATACACAGGAGCCAACTTCAAAACATTCCTCTCCAACAACGGCATTCTTCACCAACGCAGCTGCCCACATACTCCCGAGCAAAATTGTTAGGCTGAACGCAAGCACCGTTATCTCCTAGACACAACTCGCACTCTCCTACTTGTAGCCAATCTTCCCAACTCCTTCTGGGATGACGCTCTGCTCACCGCTAACTATCTAATTAACATACTACCTACCAAAGCCTGCAATCTCCAAATTTTCTTTCAACTCCTATATGCATCGCTGCCATCCTACCAACATCTCTGAAACTTTGGATATATGTGCTTCCCATGGCTCAGACACCAAGCACCCAACAAGCTATCACCACGATCACACGAATGTATATTTATCGTTAACGCTCCCACTCACAAAGGATACAAATGCTTCGACCGAACAACCAACAAAGCATACATCTCCAAACACGTGGTCTTTCACGGACGCATCTTTCCTTTCAATCCAACCTCTCCAAACCATCAACTCCACCACCAATGACCAATACATCTCCACTCACATTACTTCCAATCTCCACCATTCCAACCACTCATACCTCCCAACCACCAGACACTCATTCTACATTCCCACCACCGATCACACTACGTACCACATCAACATCTCCAACCACCACCACCCATTCTCCCATTAGCATTCGTCCTGCATCACCGTTACCACAAGAACAATAAGCCTCAAATACACCACCTCCACCTCCACATCCCATGCAAACGAGGTTCAAATCAGGAAACTTGAAGCCAAAACCCATTTTCGATCTGCTTGCCACCACACTCGACAACTACACGCCCACCTTCTTCACCAAAACCAACAAAAGCCTATCCAAGCGTGCTGCCATGTCCGATGAGTTTCAGGCCCTACACAGGTAGGGAACATGGTCACTCGTACCTCCGCCCCAACATCACCCAATCCTCGGTTGCAAATGGACATACAGAACTAAATTGAATTCAAATGGCCAAATTGAAAGGCACAAAGCCAGACTTGTTGCCAAAGGCTTCGATCAACAACTCGACATTAACTATAAAGAGACATTCAATCCCGTTGCCAAGCTAGTAAGCTACCCACCATCTGAATACTTCTTACCATTGCACTTCAAAGAGACTGGCAAGTCATTCAACTAGACGTCTCCAACGCCTTTCTCCATGGCGATCTAGAAGAGGATGTCTATATGCATCAACCGCAGGGGTTCATCGACAAACAATTTCCAAACCACGTCTGTAAGCTACACAAGGCCATCTACGGCCTAAAGCAATCTCCAAGACAACGGTACAGCAAACTCACAACACACCTTCAAGAAGCTGGCTTTAAGTTCAGCAAGTATGATCCCTCCCTACTCATTTACCAAGTTGGCACGGTTCATATGTATATACTCATATACGTCGACGACATGCTAGTCATGGGCAACGACACGAAGTCCATACAACATCTCCTGCTCAATCTGCGAGCCGCCTTCTCCATCAAAGACCTTGGCCCGGTCTCTGTCTTTCTTGGCATAAGAATATCCTCAACCCCTCACGACTACTTCTTAGATCAGTTGCAATATGCCCAAGACATCCTCAAAGCAAGTGGCTTCTTAAACTGCAAACCGGCTTCAACACCCATCACCCTCAAACAACATCCTCAAACCTCTACAGACCAACCAATAGACAATCAAACCCTCTACCGACAATTGGCTGGTTCCCTACAATACCTAACCATCACTAGACTAGATATTGCATTTGCATTAAATCAAATTTGCCAACGCATGCATGACCCCAAAGCAAGCCACTTTCAAGCCTTCAAACGGCTTCTCCGATACATACAAGGCACCCTCAACTATGGTCTTCCCATCTCGTGTAGTGATTTGATCCCAAACACATATGCCGACACAGACTGGGCATCAGATCACACAAACCGCAAGTCCATAACGAGGTTCTGCACTTTCCTTGGAACAAATTTAATATCATGGTCCATGAAAAAGCAAGTTACCATCACCAAGTCCTCCACCGAAGTTGAATACCGCGCCTTACTAGTGGCTACCTCATATATCTTATGGCTTTGCAGACTTCTCGCAGAATTCGAAGCTCCACAAACCCAACCCACCAATTTGTTATGCAACAACACATCAATGACCCTCGCCAACAACCCAGAATTCCATGCCATAATCAAACATATTGAGAACGACTATCATTTCATTAGTCACCACATCAAGAACAAGGAAATTGTCATTCTTCGCATCAACTCCTTGGATCAAACTGCCTACAGTCTAACCAAACCCTTGCAGTTAATAGATTCCAAAAAATGCGTACCAAACTAACCATCCTTCCAAAGGACAGTCAGTTTGAGGGGGCCTGTTAGCATATGAGGTTAGCAAGTGCACCGCTTCTCTGTCAGTTGTCTGACAATCTCAGACCTCACCATCTTCCAGAAGCATCTCTCTAACGGAATAATATTCCGCTCTCCTCTTATATATTGGCTGAGCAAACCATATTGTAGTATTACCAGAAGCTTAATAAAAAGAGAACAAAAGCTTTATCTGCATTCTCTGCTAATGTCTCTCTTCTAGTATTTCAACTTTCTCTTTAATCTAGAAATCTTTCAATTATATATTCAATTAACATACCACTCCGATCATCCCTCATGGAAAATTAATGCATTTACTATCGCTGTGCTCGGTGGCAAGAAGCTATTAGAAAAAAAAAATTAAAATACCTAGGCCGAGTTCCTTAGACAAGGACATGGAATACTTTCTGGCGGCACGGCGCGCCTCTTCGTCAAGTTCAAGCAACTCAAGCTCCGAGAACTCTCCGTTTTCCTCTCCAACCTCATCAAAATCGCCATTCACTTCTTCGAAATCCAAGGAATCCTGATGGCAAAAATTACAGCGCAACGGTCTTCTACAACGATCAACTAGTTTATAGGAAGAGAAGTGGGATGAAGGGAAGTGATGAGTGAACAGACAGAGTAGATTGGGCCGAGTTTTTGTGGAGAGAATTTCGTGGAGATGGTTCGGAGAAAGTGGGAGGGAAATGGAGGGGGTCGCCGGAAACCTAGAAGAATGTATTGAGTAGCCATGGTGTCGGAGTGGAGAGGACACCATTAGAAGACGTCTGAGGGGCGAAGAGGCGGTTTATCTGCTTGGCGCTGAAAAAGGCATAATTTAATTATTTTCCCAACAAAAAAAAATGATAGCTGCATATGATAGCCTGAAATAAAGTATGCTTGCCTTTCTAAAGGTGGATTGGGCATTTCCTCTATACCTGTCATGCAATTTTCTTATAACTGTTCTGTTATATTTCGGATGTACAATTGCTCTTCTCCATTATCTGTATGGCTGTTGAACAAATATAGATCGCCTTGGAAAGCCCCTATGGCTGATGCTTCTAACATATGGAAATCAATATGCCTTACTGCAAACATGGCCAAACATTGCTTTAAGTTTAGGATTACAAAGGCTGCCCCCATTTCCTTAAAATGGGATCATTGGTATCAAAACTGCACTCTCTGATTTTTTTGGAAGCGTCACTTTGTCTCAAATTCCTGATATTCCTCTTTGCAACATCTTGTCTGATTCTGGTTGGACTTTACCTGATTACATTTCATCAGGTTTGAGGGATGTTTTTGCGAGTATAAATGTTATTGCTGCGGAAGGTCTATGTTTGCTATGGTATGATAAGGAGAAAGGTCATTTTAAAAATTTTATGGAGGAATTTTATTCTGACATATCTGATTGCAGCTGGTATAAAATGATTTGACACAAAAGAAAGGTTCTAAAATTCTCCGTATACGCTTGGCTTGCAATTATGGGGGGTCTCAAAACTGCGGAGGCTCTACGTCTCAGGAATGTTTTTGTTCCAAGCTCATGCTGTCTTTGTCACACACATGATGAAACGGTATCCCATTTATACTTTGAATGCTCTTACTCTTTCTCTATCCTGACTAGCATTATTCCTTGAATGGATAATTTTCTGCTTAGGCCTAATATTTTGCAAGTTTATGATTGGTTAAATGGACAATATAATGAAAATTATGAGATGATCAATTTTTACAAAATGGCGGTATCATCGGTGATCTATTATATATGGAAAGAGAGGAATAATAGGATATTTGGGAACAAGCTGCAATGCCACACTTCGTTACAGCTTTGTATTAAAAGAGCATTGTCTGAGAGGATTATGACTTGGGAAAATGCTATGGACTTGTTGGACAGGATGTAGGCTATTTTATTCATGCTTTTCCAGTTGATGCTGCTTCGTTGTTGCCTCGTGAATTTGCAGATATGCCTTCCTGGACAATGATGAAGCTCCCCACTCATCCCTTGGATGGTCTGATGGCATCTTTGGGCAACCAGGGATGTGATTGTTCTGCATACTCTTATTTATCTATTCCTGAGTCCAGGTAATCCGGGCATGGGAGCCTTTTTTGGTCTACGGTTGGAGCTTTTTCGGGTATACACACATGTGTATTTTCATAGGTTTTCATCCTTTTTGAAGCTATTGTAGCTTGGCTTATTTTTAATAGCCAATTTTGTTATTTTGTTCTGTTATGTAACTTTCTTTTGAGTTAATATACGGGCTTTTCCCAAAATTTTAAAAAAAAAAAAAAAAAAAAAAAATTGTAAACAAATAACATTGCAAAAGAATTGACAAAATGAACATAATTCACACGTAAAATATCAAATATAATCATCCGATGGATTTATTATTCTCTGCCGAGAGTCCGGAGGATATTTGAAGACCAATAAAAATGCACCATATCACCTCAAAAATGTATCGCGCTCGGTACCAAGCATTTAACTGGACGGGAGAACCATCCGGTGTCCGCACAAAATAATAGCTCCATCTGACGATGGTGATGTTCTCACAATTATGATAGGGCTATGTTGGGATGGCGATTGGGGACCAGGTAGGTTGGTGTCCATCTAATGATAGTGATCTCACAATGTTTGTGATTCAATGACGGTGGTTGGGTGGCAACGGTCCCATGATGGTGGTCAACAACGACAGTCTTATTGTGTCCTAGAACATTCGTGTCTGTAAAGAGATATGGAGTTTAATGTCCTGACTTTAAATGAAGATACATCACACATACAGATAAAAGAGAGGTGTGAGAGTCATAAAAGACATAATAAATTTTTTGTATAAAACCTTGAAAAGGGGAAAACCGTAGGGCTTGACCTAGTTAAAATGATTCCACTAGTGTTTGCAGTCAATTACAAATGGAGCCCTTCCTCGAGGGAAGGCCTTCGCTCAATGCAAATATACATCATATAAAACACATTATATGATGGGAGTAAAAAGAATCAAGTGATATGAGAGTTATTATTAAGAGAGCATTAGCATGTAAATTTTAGTCGGTAGGACCGTAGTTAGATGATGGAGGTCAGAGGGGTCATGGTCAAGCTATTGAGGTCTGATGGATCGTAGTCGACATGTGACATTGGCCAAGTAGATTGCAGTCAGTGGGCGATGGAGGTAAGAGGGATTGTAGTCAACGGGTAGCGGTGGTCGGAGGGACCATAATTGAGTGGTGATGGTGGTCGGAGGAATTGAAGTCGGTGGGCAATGGTGGTCGAAGGGACGTTAGTCAGGTAATGGTGGTCGGTGGGACCATAATCGATGGGTGATGATGGTTAGAGGGACCGTAGTCGACGGGACGACGGTGGTCAGAAGATGGTCTAGTGGAAGTCTAACGGGCAGGTGGGGGTTCAACAGTGGTCAGGGGCTTGGGATGATGGTCAAATGGATTTCCAACAATGTTATCACTTATGTGGAAGTCCAACAACTATTAGTGAATGAATTGTAATGCCCCAAAAATCAATTTAAAATATTATATATTTTATCTTCCTAATTAATCAATTATGGCTTCTATAAATCATCAAAATAATAAACATATATTCAGTGAAAAGCAACTAACTATTATATATATCAAAATATTGCACAATATTCATTATCCTAAAATCAATATACAATAGCTAGGAGATCAATACAATCATTAATATATTAGAAGCTCCTTACTACAAAAGACTAAAAGAATGTGTAGAGCTAAATCTAAAGAATCTGACAACCTTTATCAATATCACTACTCATAATCCCGACCCCTTCCCTGACCTGAAATAATTAATATCCACATAACAAGCTAAAAAATCCAACATGAAACCAAAACTCTATAATTGCTTTCAATGCAAAGCAAAAGAATTAATATGTATATTTAATTCTAATCAATATCAATTATCACTTAATATGAGCAATAAAATTATCAAAAATCAATAATAAAATCAATATTTTAAAATAAAATCAAAAGAGAACTATAAAACTATAAGATATACGATAAATAATATTATCACCCAATGAATCATTCTAGTATGTTATGTTATGTTATATCAATATTAATGTATTATGAGCTATCAAATTATCAATGAATTAAAATACTATCAATTAGTTTAATGTAATATCAAAAAATATCATTACAAGTATAATTATGAAAAGTAAGGCATGACATGCAGCTTTAATGTTGTGTTTTCTTCCGCATATTTATTATTTGTCTTAGCTATCAATTTGTTAATTTTATCTTATATTATATTATTTATTTATTTATTGTGACTTTAAATAATCATTTAAGAGCCATCACCCTATATCGTCGGCGTAATTCAATCAATTAGTTACATGCTAAAAATAGGATTATATCATCAACCTTTTAATTAAAGGAAAGCTCATTGGTTAATCCTCCTGTGCAGAACATTATATTTTAAAAGTTAATTCATATTTATTATAATGTTAACAACAGTCTTTCTTGTTTACTTGTAAATGCTATTTTTTCTATGCAATATCAATCAATATCATATATGCTTATTAGGGGTGTCAATTCGGGTCAACGGGTCGGGTTCGGGTCGAACCCGGAACTGAGCCTTCTGGCATCTTGTTCGGGTTATTTAAAGTTTAGAGTTCCCCGTATCCCACCCGAATTTGCGGTTCGAAAAGCCATTGTTGTCGGGAGGAGAAGAGCTGCGAACAGAGGTCCGACGAGAAACTGCCCACCCGACCCGACCTGTTTTTCACACAAATGGGTCAGGAAAATTTCTGGACCCAACCCAGGCGAGCCCGATTCGGGTTCGTGCGGTCAACCCGACCCGACACGATACGAGCGCGCGGATTTGACCCCAAAATTGCTAATAAGTTATCGGTCAACACCCACCATCGGTCGTACTACCATCTCGAGGTGTTATAATCGGGGGCCCAAATACTAGCGGACGCTACTCAGGCAACTAAACCTCCCATCTCGGCTTTTTTGGGTCAAAAATGATTTTTCGTGTCACTTTTGGGCAATTTTAGGTTAGCGGGTTTCAAACCGAACACGACCCGATTTTTTAAAAACGGTCAATGACTTAGGGTTGATTTCATGAACCCGGAAGCCGGCCCGGTTCGGGTTTGGGTGGACCCGAACCGGATATTATTTTACCGGCGTCCTGGGGTTTCGGGTCGTGTCAAAAATGACACCCCTAATGGCTTATTGCAGAAATATAGTTAGAATATATGATAAATCTTTTATTATAATTTGCATACTCAATGCGGTTTTATTTTAAAAAAAAAATCATATTCTTTCAATTAACTAGCGTAGAAATTCCAACTATATTTTCTTGTTAAAATGCTTAATATTGAAATGAGATATATCACATATCAAAAAGTTATTGTAATGAAAGTTTTATTACAAAATTATTCTTATTTTTTTATAACTCAAATAATATAAATTTGATCTGAAAAAGAAGTAAAAAAATACTAAATAAATATTTGAAATAAAATATTATTTAAGTGAAATGTTAACTGATTATAGGTGAGTACGTGATCAAAAATTATCCCTATTGTAAGTCGACATTGACAAAAAAAGTGAGAGATATTTTAATATAAATTCATTGAAAATAATGTCCTTTATGTGGAAAAATTTATAAAGATATTATCGAAGATAAATTATTCAATAAAATTAGTATTTTAAAGCTTGTATATTTTAAAACTATTGCGAGTGAAATTTAATTTAAAAACGGGCTCATCACCTAACGCGGTCTCAAATATTCTCCACGTATACTAAGCATTATTTAATTTCGTTGCAGAGGATCATAAAAACAACATACCTAAAAAAATAAGAACCACCCATAATTATAATATTAAACACTCAATTATGATATGGCGAAAAAT